TGAAAGAGAAACTTAGAGAGAGGCTGAGAAGGAGAGAGCAAAGAGTCGCTATCTTTTCTCTTTCTACTGCCTGCCTTATCTTTAGAGGGTAATAGAGTAGAACCTTAAGGAAAGGAGTCAAAAATGAAGCAATCCTCCTATTACCTTTCTTAAAAGGTTTGTCCTTTTTTGATGGTTTGTGAGGGTCTAGCAGTTTCAGTTTCCCAAACTGCTTCCCTTTCCTCTGGGACTTGTCACTGGACTTCCGTCGACGTGAAATTGGAGGAGAAATCTAAAATACATTCATAATCATTCCAGGGTAAAAAATAAATTTTCATGGCTTGTTATATTGTCACAAAATCAATGACAAGCAAAAACCCATTAGTTTCATCATCATGAAATCCGTGACAAGCAAAAGCCCATTAGTTTCATTGTCATGAAATCCGTGACAGGCAAAAACCCATTGGTTCCATTGTCACAAAATCCGTGACAAGCAAAAACCCATTAGTTCCATTGTCACAAAATCTGTGACAAGAAAAAACCCATTGGTTCCATTGTCACGAAATCTATGACAAGCAAAAACCCATTAGTTCCATTGTCACAAAATCTGTGACAAGAAAAAACCCATTGGTTCCATTGTCACGAAATCTATGACAAGCAAAAACCCATTAGTTCCATTGTCACGAAATCCATGACAAGCAAAACCTGTTCGTTCCATTGTCACAAAATCTGTGACAAGCGAAAAACCTATTTGTTCCATTGTCACGAAATCCATGACAAGCAAAAAACCATTTGTTCCATTGTCACTATTAAATCCAGGACTTTGGTCCAATTTTTGAGCAACTTTAAAAAATCGTAAAAAATCCAAATTCGATCAAAACCAGTTCAAACTTTCTACGCAACATAAGTACATGTAAGCATATTAGAAAAAATTATTAAAATGAAGAATTCTCTACTTTTCATTTTTGGCAAAATTTATCCAAAATCCCTGTACTATAGTACAGGGACTTTGGCCTAATTTTTGAGCAAATTAAAAAATTCTTTAAAAATCAGATTTTCATCATAATTAGCTCAAAGTTTCAACCCCATAACAGAACATGTATATGCATCAAAAAATCTAATAAAAATAAAAAATTCTCTTATAGCCATTTTTGATGGTGTTTTAATTATTATAATATTAAAAAAGCTTTCCCCTTACATCTTTATTTATAGTGTCTGTGGGTGGAGCATCCAAGATTGTGTTGTCATGAAAACTTAAATCCATTACAGCATCTACAAAGAAATAGTCACAAATAAAAAACAGGTCAGTGAGCTAACCATCGCTGGCCACACCTCCAGGCTCCGCCCAATTATCTAATAAATGCATACTGTCTAATGGTAAGCTGCAATTTCCATGGAAAGTGGTGAACTTGATTGGCTCTAAAAGTAGAGCACCATTATCACTGATATAACTGGTATTGAGCTATGAAAGAGAGAGAAAAAAAGAGGGAAATGACAAAAGAGTCAGACAAAATACTGTATCAAAATAATAATAATAATGATACTTTAAAATCGGCTCTACTCCCGACCAACTCCCCTTTGTTGCTAATAAAAAAAATTAAAACAAAAATATAACGTCAAAGTTGATTGAAATATCCTCACTTGAATAAAGGAACGTCAAGTAATTTTTCAGAATTATGAAGTGGTAGCAATGACCTTGGAGTACGCTGTATTATAGAAGCATTGATATCAGGCTGAGGAGAAGGAGAGAATTGTGTACAAAATATAATTAATCTTTGGCTGCATTATGTATTACGTACCATGAATGGTTTCTCTATCATATCAATGTTTCTTGCTTCTAAAATATCATCAAGCAATGGAAACTAATTGAAGTGGGAGAAGATACAGCAATAACCAATAAATAACAAGTTTATTACGAGCCATACAAGGTATTAAAAATATGGTACCTGGTCTTCGTTAGATTTGGTTATGTCTTGTTCTCCTTCTTGCTCCTCTACTTCAGTCCTTCTGTAAAGGAGCTCTTTCATGCACATATAAGTAATTAATGACATACTTTTTATTGACAATAAGTTCAAGTGTTTGATAAACAAGAGCATGAAGATACTCAACCTTACGACTGTACACACAAGCTGAGCCTTGAATAACAAGAGCTGCTTCGGCGAAATTCAAATTAGCCTTTCCTCCTTCAAATGCAATAGTGATCTCTTCAAGCTAAAAGAGAAAACATGGAGAAGTGTGTGAGAAAATAAAATGGTGGTGGTGATCGACTCCAAGGTGATGGCTCCCTCTCTCTCTCACTTCTAATAAATATTCTTCAAGTTCTGATGCTACATCAACGTCCCAGTTCTTTGCAAGGTCGCGTATCGGCTTCAGGAGATGACCAAAACGAGATATTATGTCTTTCTCAGCCATTTAATACTGAAGGGAGGGGCTTGAAGAGGCGTGGTCACTGCACGTGCTCCCACGTGGGTTTGATCACCAGCACAAAGCATAGATATTATACACACAACGTGTATAATATCTATGTATAATATCCGTGTATAATGTCTATGTATAATATCCGTGTATAATGTCTATGTATAATATCCGTGTATAATATCTGTGGTTTGATAGAGGGGCGAGACAGTGATTTGAGATAATCCTGGTATTGTTCATTGAACAATACCAGGGTCATCTCAAATAATGTTCAGAATCGCCCTTCTTTTAGTTTGGCCAGACTACCCCTCTTTAGATATACTAAATTCAAAATGAAAGCTCCTTTTTGCTGCATACTTGTTGCTCTTCTGCTAGCAGGAATGGGAAATCATGCTGCTGATGCTACCACAGCTCAGTGGACTAAACTGTATGGAACAATGTCTCAAGTTTATGCTAATAGTGTCGTTCTTTGGTCTATTGATGCTCAACTCAAAGCTTACTACTGTCTCCGGCCTTGCACTGGTAATTGGGCCCATGTTGGTAGTAGCATGGTTAATATTGAAGTTGATGCATACTATACATGGAGTATTGGAGCTGATGGATACCTTTATAAAAAAGCAATGCAAAATTCTGGAGGATGGGGCAAACATACGTATTGGCCTCATGATATGATAGATATTGCTTCAACGAGAGACTCGTATATGTGGTTTTTACATGAAGATAAAAGTATTTCATGGATAAAGCATTATAACCCAACTGTACACAAGGTTACAGGAAAGTTTGATCAAATTGATGCCAACTCACAGCATGTATATGCTCTCAATAAAACAACCAATACCATTTCTTTTCGTCCAGTACATGGAAGGGGTCAATGGCGTACCATCCCAGGGCAGATGAAGTATGTAACAGCTGGTACTCATGAGATATTTGCTATTGGAGTAGATGGTGAGCTGTATCGTTGCACTATACCCTGTGCTGGTACATGGGAACAAATGGGATCTCCAGCATTGCCAGCATCTAATGTGGTTCAGCTTGATGCTACTATAGATGCATTGTTTGCTGTCACTAGTGCAGGAGGAATATACCGTCATGAACTAC